GGGTGAGCGTACCGTTCTGCGGCTGGGGGCCCCGAGATCTCTCCCCTTCTCATGTATCTGTTATATATCGGTTGGCAACTGTTATCAGATCGTTCTCAGCTATGTTGATTGTAGAAATATGTCAACATCCGCATATGCTACCGTGGGATATCGTTCCCTCTTAAAAATTCCTTGGTGGCGGGAAAGATAGAGGCCATTTGAACCTCGCAGCAAGTATAAAAGGAAGAAAAAAACCAGACTTTTTCTCAAATAGTATCGACCGCGTAGAATCCAAGTACTAAACCAGGGTTGTTCTTGTTGTTGTTTAGTGTTGCTCTTACTCTTGTTCTCGTTTAGTGCTGGCCCGGAGCCGTGTTTTAGTTATTTGATTCGGAAGAAGCTGTTTTAACACTCTGTGTATCGGTCTTTCAATGGTAAGGTATAGTCGTTCTCACCCCACTAGTTGGTCGGTGGTCGAATTTAAATTCGAACTGGAGCAGGCCGGCCGTGGCAGAGCGCGGCAGACCCCCCCCCCCCTCAGCCGACCGCTTGCACATGAGCTTTTCTTCAATTTTCTTCGTTTTTCTTTGCTATTTCTTCTATTGCGGCAATGTTTAATCAGATTTTTAGATTTTGTACCGCTAACTATTGTTTTGTGCAGTTGTGCTCGTTTGTTTTACATTTTTCCAGGTAAACCGGGAAGAAGTATGCTATTGGGGATTTTAAATGAGAAGTCTCTCTTCCGGTAAGTGACATATATACAAATGTGATTTGATGAACTGGTCAAGTTTTTCGTTAAAATGTGCACATTCTAAACCATTTTTTGCGATAGGGCCGAAATTCCCTCAAAATGTGTTCGTTTTAAAGAGTTAGCGGCGTGAAATCTGAAAATCTGATTAAGAACATTGCCACAATACCAGAGATAGTAAAGAAAACGAAGAAAATTAAAAAAAGCGTGCAAGTGGTTGACTGAGGGGCGGCGTCTGCCGCCCTCTGCCGCGGTCGGCATGCTCCAGTTCGAATTCAAATTCGACCACCGACCGACTAGTGGGGTGAGGACGATTATACTATTCCATACCGCTAGACACTCCCCGGTTACATTTCCAACTTCCAAAGGTCATCAATTAAAATGAAATCGTGTCCTGTACGTGTAACAATTTGTAACGGCTTATACTTACCTACAATGTTTAATCCATGGCCGCATTCATCATTGGTACCTTGAGGTAAAATCTGCTTCCAGGTAGTTTTATCACTCATTATCAGCAAAATTACATTGAGAATTTACCTCAAGGTACTTTGTGAATAGGGGTACTTGCTGATAATGAGTGATAAAACTACCTGGAGGTAGAATTTACTTCAAGGTATCAATGATGAATACGGCCACCGGTGTAGCACCTGAGGGCTATGCAAAAATGGAATACGAATAAAGGAAGAAGCAATTTGAGAAAATACATATTTATTTCTTGAATCTGAAAATAACATGCGGTTGAACACATCGAACTGGCAGAGTTTACGTCGACGAAATTCGAGCATTTTGATAGCTCATAATGACTTAAGAAAAAACTTGTTGATGTATGTGATCGCGCAACATAGATAGTTTGACCAAATACGAGAACGCTTGTCTCAACCGCAAAAAAAAGAAACGAATCAAAAAAAAATTTTCAGTTGCACTGAATGGTTTGAGCACAATTAATAATTCGTAAAATGATGTAACATTTCTTGTTGTTGTTGTCCAAGGATTGTCAAAACAAGTTCTAATGGGGTATGCTGCACTACGCTGATGCAGTACTTCTAATCAAAATCCGTACCTGTAATAGTCAAGATGGCTACAAATTTCCATAAAACATTTACCTTAGAACAAAGATTTCTCAAAATGGTCACGAAATGTAATGAGTTTCGCTTTTTCACGATTTGGTATATATACACCCCCCCCCTTCATTAGGAGTGATAGATGCTCGTGCGTCTTGGGTCCAGCACGACCGTCTCGCTTGTATCTTGCATCTCTTTAGTGAGGGTGCTTTCTTGTCATTTTTTACGCATGAGCGCGGGAAAGGCCGAGGTCAATCGCTAATTAAGCGTGGAAAAATGATTGAAGAGTACGCTTGCGAAAGAATTACAAACCTAATCAAGGCAGTCGTAATGGACCCGAGCTGTAAGCTCCCATCATCCTTAAGATACAGATGGTATTTTCCCCTTATGTGCCTGGGTGAAGGGTGTGCCCAGTGATTTTTGGAGATTTTCGAATTTTTAACACAAAAACTCATAACTTTTGTTGACGAATATTCTGTACGCCGAGATAGCCATTTTGGAGCCTTCTCGTCCTCCGCTTTCAGAAAATATATACTTTGCCTGGGATCCATTAAAAATGCCGGGTGAAGGGTGGGTGAGACTTTTATAATGGGAGTGCTCAAGTGTAGACGTCTTTTCACCGTGGTAAAAAAAGCCTCCACTTGAGCACTCCCATTAAAAAGTCTCACCCACCCTTCACCCGGCATTTTTCAATGGTCCCCTGCGAAGTATAAATTTTCTGAAAGCGGAGGACGAGGCGGTTTCAATGGTGACCATCTCGAAGTACAAGATGTTTATCTGCGAAAGTTATGAATTTTTTTATGTTAAAAACTCGAAAATCTCCAAAAATCACTAGGCACACTCTTCACTCAGGCACTTTTTAGAACGATCTCAGACAGGCTATATATATTCTGAAAGCGGAGGGCGAGGCGGTTCCAACGGTGACCATCTACATGTACTATCTGTTCATCTCAGAAGCTATGAATTTTTTAATGTTGAAAACTCGTAAGTGTCCGGAAATCACTAGGCACACCTTTCACTAGGTATTTTTGTGAACGAACTTTCAAACTATTTATCCCCTGAAACCAGAGGGAACGTTGTTCCACGAAACTTTCCTCGACGTTGCTGTGCAACTACGAAAGCTAATATTTTTTTCCTTCTGGAAGTTCGTGAATCCCTATAAATCTTCTTCCTCCTTTCCGTCACACAAACAATTCCGTAAAAAATATCTCCTTTGCTTAGCCTCACCTCACTGTCGATTTTTTTCTCGGCTTTTGGTGAAGGAGGTCACGATCTCGGTTCAGGAGTGAAGGATGGCGGTGAGCAGATTTCTCATACTATCGCACCTATGCTGTCTATTATTGGTCATTGAGAAACTAGATTTTTGCAGTTTAAGTTGTTGCTTCATCAGGTTCTACATGCACTAAAGAGGTATGGTGCGAGTTACTGCAAATGAGGGCGGTCTGAAGAAATTTTTGCAATCTCGCCGCAGGTTGCAATGGCAGGAGCATATTTTACTTTAACTGCAGCGGTCCAGGCCGCAGCCTGCGGCCTAGCATGAAGGAACCCATAATATACTTTATCTGCAGCCCTTTCTCTCGAGTTTATGTTACTTATTGAAGAGTGATTGTTTCTCAATGGGATGTGAACAGCATTTCCTGTTTTGTCTACACTATCTTGGCGATAGAAAGTTTTAGCGGTAAGATTTTTCATCCTTGCACCACATCAACAATTAGCTGCGGCTCTACAGCTAAATGCATAACGTCAGTGTCCTGGCGTATTTTGCACTTCCATTTTTTCTGCGTGTCTATGTTTTTTCAACACCTAGACCGAATTTGAACCGAGGGAAAAGACCTTTTTAGGGCGCGTTTGCCCTATTTCCAAAATGCAGCTGAACGAGATTTTTAAAGGAAAGGTGGAAAGTCCTGGCACGAAGAACCTGCTGCCTGTAATTTCTGCTTTGGATAACGTACACAATGCGGGAACGTCGTGGGGTCCCGCGCCGTACAGATAAGCGAAGCCGTCCGAGCGCTAAGCGCGCGTCGGTCTAAGAGCTATTTTCTCCTCTTGGGGGTGGGGAAGGAGAAACATCAACTCGACCAGCCGGTCTGGGCCCGGAGGTTAGTGGCGTATCAATTAACCCCACCACAGTTATATCCTCCGGAGCGCGAATCAGTCGGGGCACTGCCTACAATGGAGCATAGTGCTTTTGCTTCGAAAAGTCTGTTATCAAGGCAGGTTTGTGGGCGAAATGCACTTGGTAATCGATTGCTGTTCAATGCTGGTTTCACTGACTGTAGAATGATATAGTTAAGCTAAAGGCAGTGACGTAACCCTTACAGCTAAGTCAGCTGTATTTTGAGTGCATGGTGTGTGGTGTGTGTGTGGTGTGTGTGGTGTGTGTGTGGTGTGTGTGTGGTGCGTGTGGTGTGTGTGTGGTGTGTGTGTGGTGTGTGTGGTGTGTGTGGTGTGTGTGTGGTGTGTGTGTGTGTGGTGTGTGTGGTGTGTGTGTGTGGTGTGTGTGTGTGGTGTGTGTGGTGTGTGTGTGTGTGGTGTGTGTGTGGTGTGTGTGTGGTGCGTGTGGTGTGTGGTGTGTGTATGTGTGTGTGTGTGTCAGACTTACTCTGTTCAGCAGGTTCATTCGGTTCACCCTCCCCGAGTGGTCAGTACATTGATTTGATCAATAGCAAATAAGTGAACCGGACGAACCAGTTAGACAGGATAAATCTGGCACCTGCCTCAGTGACATCGGCGAAATGGCCGTACGCACGTCCGACTCTTGCGATCATGCAGGCCCCTATATATTGTTCCGAATAACAGTTTTTATTTCTGGACCGATTTAGGTCACACTTTGCAAACATACAACAGGGAGGAGCGGATGTCGAAAACTACTTACTTTGTCGATTTATACCGATATCGATTTTGCAGAGTTTGAGCTACAAAACTGAGAGATGGCACAGCGGCGTTTAAGCATCCTAATCAAAAATATTTCCTTGACAGGGTCGGGCGGAGCCGCGTTTGCCCGAATTGATGAAATTGGTGAAACAGCTGTTGCTTTTTGAAAAATTTGCTTTTGACCCAGTTCAATTTAGTTTGTCACTTTGCATTAGTGTTGCAATTGTTTTCTATACGTTTGCTTTTTCGATATAACGCCTTGGCTTCTTGCGTGTCGTAATTTGTTGTTTCACACAGTACACAACTGTCAGTCAATCAATGCAAATTATTCATTTACTACCCAACGCCTTCACTGCTGCCGTCCGGTCCCCTTTTTGATGATCCCTAAATCCCTGCCGATCCTCTCTCCAATCTTCCCTAAGTCCCTGCCAATCGTTTTTCCAATCTTTCCCAAGTCCTTCGCTTCTTGTTTCATCTTTTCGCGTTTATTGAGATACTGAATAAAATGATTCACATTTACATTACATTTGTTAAATGTTATACAAGAAAAATATAACTCGAATTAAGATGCTTAGTGGAGCATTGTTTCCGATAAATTATGGGATGAGGTCAAAATATGTTCTGAAGCATATACAAACAACCGCTTTGCAAGGTTGGAATGCAGCTTTTGCTCAAAGATAGCGTCTCGGCAAATTAATGGTACCGAGGTTTTACAGTGTTGCAATGGTATATTTTCCACCTAACCTATAAGTGAAGATGGAGGGAAAAAGCGCCTCTGGAAAACCCAAAATCAGCTCTGCAAATCTTTCGGACCCCGCCTACTTCCGCACTTCGCACACTTCCTACACGTGATTTAGAGCGAACGCGGACACGTAGAGCTTCGAAAAAAGCTCATTTTTGCTATTTTTAAGCGCTGCAAAGCTTACAAGGGAACGATACTTAGTGTCCGTGGCCTTTTGAGATAAAATGTATACCATTACACTTGTCTTCGAACGTTGATTCCGAATCTGACTTCCGTTTCTGCTGAACGTTTCTCTGAAAGAAGTTATGGTGGATTTTCGCGCCAAATTTGCCCTGTATAGATATGATAGGAACACCAATACCGCCGGCAGTTGTGGTGTAGTGCTAGTGCGTTATTCTCACAAGCTGATGCAGGTGTAGGTTCAGATTCCCTTTGTATTTTTCAGTTTTGCATTGCCTTAACTAAGCTTTTTGAGAGTTAGATTTCCTCGAGGTAAATGTGTGTCCTTCCCCTTTGAAAATTTAACGAGGTGTCATTTTTATACGAGTATTTCCTATATTATTCCAAGAGGTGCCCAAAAAAATGAAAATGATTGGAAAATGAATGCATATTGACATGTTACCATGTTGGTGTTCCTATCGTATGTGCCTCGCGCTGCCAAATTTGGCGCGAAAATCCTTCATAACTTCTTTCACAGAAACGGTCACCAGAAACGGAAATCAGATTTGGAATCAGCGCTTGAAGGCGAGTGTACTGAAATACATTTCATCTCAAAAGGCCACGGACACTAAGTATCGTTCGCTTGTTAGATATGTCTTCAGCGCGGCGAGAAGGCTCAACATGGGTGAAAATTTGAATTTTGCCGAAACACTGCCTTTAAAACCTGAGCTCAAGAGAATTTGCAGTATTATACTAATACCACAAAGCTGTAGACGCTTTGCCCACAACTCTTGCTCCAGCATATCACAAAAATCACATCAAATTAGACCCAGACTTCTTCACTTCATCTCCACTCTAACCTGGTTATTGTACCTTACTGTGCAAAAGTCCTACATGTTCAGAAAGGCTAGTCGCAATGCTATAAACATTTTCAAGACAGTCTGTTCAGAAGGAACATTTCAGGCAATTCACGTTGCTTAATTGGCCAGTTTAGTTTATGTATGCTGAAGTCATTATAACGCCAAACACTGAACTTCTTGGAGGAAAGAGACATTTTTACATTCTTTTCATTTAGAACAACGGTGAACAGTACCAAACTCACAGTGAACTTTGAATTGCAAAGGTCGAAATGGTTACAGCAACAAAACGTGACCCTACGTCCTCGAAACTTCTTTTCAATGCATCTATTTTGGCTTAGCTGAAAGAAGAAAACATCACTATGGACTAAATCAGTTCTGACAATCAAGATTAGGTGATGCGGATATGATTGCATTCAACATCACATGCTCACAAATGCTGTAACAACGACCAGTGGCCGTATTCATCAAGGAACCTTGAGGTTAAATTTTACCTTGAGAGCACGTCTCAAGGTAGATTTTAACCTCAAGGTAACTTTGCTATTCACAAATCTACCTTGAGGTTAAAATCTACCTGGTAGTCAACAGAGTACTCACTGACGTTTATTCGGAACATGCCATGACGTATCAGCGGTGCATAAAATCTTCTACTGGTAGTGATTTTCCGACTGCCATGTTGATAATGCCGTACATCTTGTAGGTGCACGTTACCATGTTTTGGCAGGAAAGTCTTCTGAGGAAGTGAGCAATCATGTTTCAACATGATTGAACGTGGCAATTGATACAGGGTTGTCTCAAATGTTAGTACACACTTTTTAATCGTTAATATCTCTTCTCACACAAAGTCTTTCGGTTAGATTCAACAGCCATCCAGTAGAGCAGGCTTGAACTTAGATTGCTGGTATGGAGCAAAGCACCTATAGTCTTCATTACTGTAGTAATACAATGGAAATTGAAGAGGGTTTCAAACAAAGTTAAAACCCTCCTTAACTTCCTATCAAATTTACATAAAAATATACATTGATGGTTGAAATCAATGTATGAATTTTGGCCCAAAATGGACACTCAGCAAGCTGAAAACTTTACCACAAGACTAAACAGAGTCGCTGATCATGAATGTGAAGTTTCCAATTTACCAGAAGGCTTTTTTCATAACTTATGCCAAGTAAACCGCAGTTGCCTTTTTTCAGTGCTTCAAAATCTAAACCAATTGGAACGCGTAAAAATTCTCAGTAAGGTTGTCTAATGGTGTTAGCACTTCTGAAACACTGCTACACAACTTTTCAGCTTTTTGGAAGCTTTTCTTGCTGGCCTATCTCAAAATGGCGCTGTATATTTTCCTACCGATCTTACAGCAATTGAGAGCCATAGGTGTTTTGCTCCATACTATAAACATAAGTTGAAGCCTGCACTACTGCATGGTACTTGCAGCTAAGCAAAAGGCTTCTTGAGTAGAGAGTTACCAACGATCAAAGAGTGAGTACTTACATTTGGGACACCGTGTACACTAGGAAGAAGAACAGGCTTCATGGCCATCAGAGTATAAGTAGAGTTAGAATTGAGCTGTATGATATGAAACGCAAATACCGCAAAGATTCACATAAGTTTTCGAAATTTTTACATAACTCTGTTTCACTCTTATAGTTTGGTATGTAAAACTTTGGTCCCAAAACTCCTCCCCGCCTCTTTGTTAGAATCCGGAACAGCACGACGCCGGTCCTTTTAAGGAGGGAATCGCCCAATCGAACAACCTATGCAACTGGCGAGATCAAGCGGGAAATCATAAGAATCGATAGTGGCAAAGGCGAAGTCGTTTCACGGGTGTCTGTTTGCCACCGTCGTGCTGGGCTCTGATACCATGTTAAAAGGCTTAGAACGCTGATGCCACTGTTTTCCTTAGCTGCGGAATTTATGGACAAAGTATGAGCGTTTTTTGGAGCGGAAATTGGATGTGCAAATAGGACAAAAATGGTTGCAATATATTTTCTAGCGCTTCAATGGAACAATGATAATCGTTAAAGTCCTTTATTTAATAGATACTCCAGTAATCAAATAGTTGGAAACTAAGTTTTGCAACTCATTTAATGCTTTCCTCTCTCTCGACATATGCACTTAAATTTTGCGATTGTGTAAGCTGTGACGTAAGCTACAAGCGCAGCTGCTGTTCTGCCATATTCTAGCTTCACAATGAGGGTTAAGCTAAGTATATGGTATAAAATGAAAAATATAAAATATGACAGATTTAGCTGAAACTTGGTATAGGTGTTATCCGACATGCTGATCACAAAAATGATAATGACTTTGCGTGATAAAGGCTTTTTTGTAAGGTTACTGTAAGTTTGATATATAGGGTCCCACCCTGAACAAAGAAAGAGGCGTTATATAACCAATGAATATGGTATTCGTATCTGGTAGGTCAAGTAGCCTTATGTCAAGTCTCGGCGGAAATTGAGCTTCTGACTCTTTAGTCATTGACGGTCGTCCCCAGCAGCGCTTGCGGACTGCTACTTGGTCGACTTTGTGGGGGCGCCAAATCTCGACTCCCCTAAATTTTGTTTATTTCTTATTAAGCCAATGAGTCAACTACTAGCCATAATTCGTAGACGATTCCGGATCACTGCGCATGGTCTAGGCTGGTAACGGCTTCATTTCAGCTTGAAACTCTAGAAATTCTAAAAATTTACTAGTTTTCGAAAAATGCCTGAAACTTTCCTATTTCATGTCAAAATCTGAGCAATTTGCGCGCAGTTGTGTCACATATTACTCTTTACATATTGCCAAAGTTTGAATGCGCCATAACTAGAGGTTGAATTTATGAAACTAAACTTAGTTTAGTTTCATAAATTAGCTTCATAAACTAAACTTAGCAAAACTTAGTGTCCAGCCTTATATATCTTACAATTATTGCTTTATTTGAGGACTAGTGAGATTCAGCAACTCCATCCTAAATGTATATGTAAATTCATGCTGCAATAAACGCTCACAACTCCTCGTCAAGGAACGTTTCACAAATAAAAAGACAGATTTGGAATGTTTTCTGCTTAACTTATACATTCCCATCTAAAAGGGTAACTTCGACAAAAAAAGGTTTCCTTGTAAGTAAACAAGTGAAATTTGAGCTAGTATTGATATAATATATTCGTCCTTGAAAACGGTTGCGTCAGAATAAGGTCCTCAGAAATTAGAATGAAGGAGGTCCTTATAAAGAGTTCAACTCTTATGTGCAAAGTCAAGGTAGATTTTAACCCTAGCTATCCTAGGGTTAAATTCTACCTTGGATGCATAGTAGAAAGTTAGTGGAGAAATGATGATTGAGGTAAAATTCAACCTCAAGGTAGAATGATGAATACGGGTTTATGCGTTTAAAGGTTCATTTCTACCTCAAGGTAGACTTAACCCATGAGAGAATTTCATTGCGATCATGTTGTGAATACGGGTTATAAACTAAAATGCTAGCTGAGGTAACTTTTAACCTCAAGGGTTCGTTGATGAATACGGCCACAGAAGCACAGTTGTCCGTTGATCGGGTCATTTTTTTTGCTTGAAAGCGCAGTTCGTAGAACAGGGTGCTAATGTGCACTTTTCAATCTTTTATTCAGAACAGCAGCAATGCAGCGTACTTTATCAATTTAAAGTGGGTTGAATATAATAAGCGTAACCTCCACTCATGCTCTGAGGATTACTATGCAATGTATGATGCATCCCCCGGAACTGTTCCTATATGAACCATCAACGTCGCCGTCTTTCGATCATTCTAACATGTCGGCTTTACGCTTTGAATTTGCTGGAGTTGAGTTGTTAAATTGATCCAAAGGCAGCCACGTTATGGTTCGTATGGGAACAATTCTGGGGTAGGGGGATGCACAATACAAGCGTGATATAAAAGCAAACTAGTCCTAGCTCTCTAATGTTCAAAAAAATCAAACCAGCAATTCGTGAAGATTTTAATCGCGTCCGCCTCTTCACGTTGCCTCCTTACCCAGTCAAGGATTAGTTCTAATATGGCAAGTATGGCTTAAAAGAAGGTATGGCGGTTTTCGTAATAAAGAACGTACATGCTTGAATGTTTGAATGGAAGGTAAGTTAACGGAGTGTGGCGCAGTAAATTGGATCTGATTCATAACCTCTATCGTGTGATAGTTGTTAATAACCGCTGCGTGAGATAATCAAGATTTTGACTGGCTTCTACTATAATTCCGTAGTTTTAGTTTGGCGATTGTTTGGAATTGGATTTTTCAATCAGAAAACTGAAGAAGAAAAAAAGTTTTAACTTCAAGTTTCAATGGTTGTGCTTTCATCAACCATTACTTACAAGGAAAGGAAGGTTGGTCGAAGTGGCCTTCTGAAATGGGGTGCACACTTCCTTGTAGAGCTTGGAACGCTGATTCCAAATCTACCTTTGCTATCTGCTGCGGGCTTCTGGGCGACGAGTTATGAAGGTTTTTGTGATTAAAAACCTGAATGCAAGAGTAGGCTAAAATCAGTCGTAACATTTTTTATAGGGCTTAATTGGTAGTCGGGTCACTCGGTGCGACGAATATTCTTGATTCAAATATACCAATTCGCTGCTGCCTCATTTGAACATTGGGAAAAGGTTACGATTGATTTTACCCTATTTTTGCACTCAGATTTTTACTCACAAAAACCTTCATAACTCGTCGCCCAGAAGTCCACAGCAGATAGCAAATATAGATTTGGAATCAGCGTTCCAAGCTGTACAAGGCAATATACACTTTATTTCAAAAGGGCACTTCGACCAACCTTCCTTCCCTTGTTAGGCTAAAGATGTACAATCAGGCTCAAATTTCTCCTACGTGTGTACGGGGTCTCAACTTCCAAATCATAAAAATTCTGCCAAGAACCCCTTTGAAGGTACAGTTGTGACCGTGGAATTTGTCCAAAATTGCGGGATTTTCGGGATTCGCGATGTTTGCGGGATTCGCGATTTCACGGGATTTGCGGGATTCGCGGGATTTGCGGGACTTGCGGGATTTAGCTATAACTTCTTTTAAATCCACTTTATTTGCAATCTGCGTGTAGATTTGGCTTCAGCTTGATGAGACGAATTGTTTGATATACAGTATGTAAGGTAATTCGACGGGTAGACTTACAATGATACCTTGTTGTTCCCTATGTTAAGGCTTTTGTGAACATTTATCACAGCGTAAACCACGAATAGCAGGTTCTGGTACGAAGTTTTCATTATCGAAAACTATCGCAAAATATTGGGCAGCTTTTATTTACCCTTATCACTGGTATAAGCATTTTATCATTTATCACTGATAATATCACATTTTTGGATCATTTTTTACATATGGTAAGGAAAGTACTGTAGGAAAAG